GGCCAGATATTCTGGGGTTTTTTTTGCTTTTCTTGGTTGGTTGATGACCCGATTTCTGTCTTCCCCTGACCCACCCAGGGCTGAATCCCACCCCCCGGCCCTGCCCTACACGTCGCTCCTCCAAGAACCGCAAATCTCAACAGATTTGTCCTTCCTCCCCATGGGGGGGAAAAAAAAAAAACAACCCACAACCCAACACAAAAAACCCACAAAACCCTTTTTATTTCTCTTTATAGTTGGGAGTGGAGCCTTGTGGCACTGCTATGGAGGGGCCACCCATGGGTGCAGCCCCTTCCCTGCACCCCTGCGCCCCAGGCAGGAGGTTACGCCCAGAATTTTTCCCCAAACTCTCCGTTCCAACCCCAAAACTCAGCTCGGCTCCTGAGTTTTGATGCTCCCAAGGGGAGCTTCGCTCTCCTACCTCCTCCAGAGGTGCAGAAGGCGAAATCGTCCTCACTCAACACGGCGGAGGTAGCAGCAAGGCTAAAAAAAAAAAAAAAAAAACCAAACCACTTCCTTAAAACTTGAAATGCAAAAAAAAATAATAATCATTGAGCTCTTCGACCCGGCTCGGTTGGCAGCGGGGGCAGACGGGCTCACACCGATGCCTTCCCGTTCCATGAACAGGAGTAAAAATTCCAAGCGGGTTACTCACCCGTCACAAGCGCTCCCGAGCGTGGAAAAAATAAATTCACGACAGCAAATTGAAGGGAAATTGAGGGTTTTTTCTCTTAAGCTCGTGCCTGTGTTACACAATTCTGAAGTAGCCGCAGCGCTACTTGCTAAATAAATCTTGTTGGAGGGGTTGGGATTTAAGATGTTCGAGGGATGGGTGGAAATAAGGTTACGTCTCCCCGTTCCTTGAGGGTTTTAGGTCTTGTTGGAACACTGAAACTGCCCCAAGTGAAGTGAATTTTAAAACTCTTTGATCTCTTCCCAAGAAAAAAAGAAGTTGAAAAGGAATATTCTCCTCTCTGTCCTGCAGAAAGCGAGCGGAAAGGTTCGATTTGGAGGACGCGGGCTCTAGGGCTCGTGGTGGTTTTGAGAACAACGGACTCCACCACCTCCACGGTCCCTGGGCATCGAAGAGCCTTGACCGAGCAGGAGAAATTCGAGTCGGTGCATCTGCCTGTACTGCCAGGAAGAAGCAGCTGGGTTTTATTTTATTTTAATTTTTTTTTTTCCCCCCAGAGAATACTAATAGGTTCTGGCAAAAAAATAAAATAAATCAGCATATTCAGCATAAAGGATTTGCCCCAACAAGGGTCTCAGTCAATGTCCCCAGGGAACAGCCTCCAGCAATATTTATAAATGAACAATTTGGAGGCCAGGTGGCCTTAAAATGCCTTTTTCGATTATCTCCTCCAGCCCAATGCCCATCCCTGGTGTGGGTGCTCCCGTGTCGCCACAAACCACCTTCCCGGAGGGGAACGGCTCCCTTACGGAGGTTCCCACTGAGGAGGAACGGGGCACGGAACGAGAAAAACCATCCGGGCGGACACCACGGGAAGGTGGGAACGTGCTGCATCAGCCAGGGCGATGGGCAGGTGGAGGTGGTCGCAGCAGGGGTCTTCTGCTGGGAAAACTGGTGAGGAGAGAGGAGAAAAGAGAGAAGGAGAGAGGAGGAGAGAGAAGGAAAGGAGAGAGGAGAGGAGAGAAGAGAGGAGTGAAGAAAGAGAAGAGAGATGAAAGAGGAGAGAGGAGAAGAGGAAAGAGAAAAAAGAATAGAGAAAGAAAAAAAGGAGAGGAGAGGAGTGAAGAAAGAAGAGAGGAAAGAGAAGGAAGAGGGAGGAGTGAAGAAAGGAGAGAAGAAAGGAAGAAAAGTAAGAAGGAAAGAGGAGGAGAGAGGAGTGAAGAAAGAAGAGGGGAAGGGAAGGGAAGGGAAGGGAAGGGAAGGGAAGGGAAGGGAAGGGAAGGGAAG